TGTGTCAGATACGCGTCCTTCACTGCTTGCAATTTATAAGCTCTCAGCTTCCGAGAAGTGTAAAATAAAATACAATCATAAGGAATGTGAAAAATAAAGGAATACGAAATGGAAATATATATTAAACTGTTTAATCCTTTTTTCCTCGCTTGAAATGACATTTATTGCAACAACAGGATTAACATTATTAATGGCCTGAAGAGTTATCTCAGCTTTTTAAATAAATTCCCAATTTTGAAATTATGAAATAACAATGAAAAACGCTTCAATAACAGTTTAGATGTCAATGTTCCATGTATTTAGGAAAGTGAACAAAACAATTTTTGATTCATCAGATAAGAAGAGGGTGCCAGTTGCGAAGATTTGTTTATCAGCTGTCACTCAGCAAGAAATTTGTCCCACAACAAATATGTGACGCAGTACATGCACGTACATAACACATGCACCCGGACAAATTCATATGACATTTATTCATTCAGTCATTTATTCTATCAAGCAATCTTGCACTCAATCAATCTGTCATTTGTGTAGTATTTTAAATATGTTTTTCATACATATTCATTTATTTACGGAATATTTCAATGCGGCATGTTCAATAAAATGTTTTTATCGGAATAGATTCGTGATGGACAATATGGTTTCTCAAATTTAATTGGAAAATATTGCGGTACAGATTTTCCGGATGAAATAACTTCAAAGGAGCGTTATCTCTGGCTGCATTTCCATTCGGATGAAAGTATTGAATATTCCGGTTTCACTGCCGTGTACGAGTTCATTGATCGCAATCGTGAAGGTGAGTGCATCTTAACATTTCAACCTCTATCGCAAAGAATAGAATCCAATTTATATATGTTGGAATTTAAGTTATGTCGTTTTTAAAACTTATTAAAATTCATTGAATAATTAATCAGTTGGAGTGAACAATATATAATGTTCTCATTATCATTGTTAGCTCCTATCACTGATTTGAACTGTACCATTGATAAAGACGGCTACGAAGGTTTCATTAACTCAACAGATGTGCCGACTGGTATCAAGGAAACTGTCACTAAAAACAAAATTGCTTTGGACTGCATATGGAGAATACAAGTCCAGGATAAGTGGAAGGTATTTGATAGCACAATACATTAATACTTTAGTGAAGAACTGTTATTAAAATTTATTATTATAATGTACTTTTCATTATAATATATTGCAATTTTTTCACTTTCTTATAAGTAAAAGAAAACAAATGTTTTTTTATTTACTCATTCCAGATTCAAGTCAAGTTCTTGCAGTTCAGACTGAACAAACCAAACGATTGCAATGTCAATTTTTTAGATATTTTCCCTGAGCAAACTGTTATGCCTTTAAGGTAGGTAACCATAAAAGATATTTCCTATTTATTAAAATATACAGATTCAAAGTTTACATAACGAATATAATTTAAAGTTTAAGCAGAAATCCACCAATCCATATACAGTAGAAGAAACCCTATTAAATAGCTTTGATGCATAATTAAACTTTTTTAAAGAATTTTAAGTGTAAAATATGTTACAACAAAATCTCTCATTTTAGACGTTAAAGACTGATTACGAAAAAATCGGGGATTCTCTTTACAGTATTAAAGGGAATTTTACTTTATTTAATTTGTGTCTATGGTATTTTCCATTCAGTATTTCCTAATTTTATGAATACTATTGCATATGTCCTAAGATATTAGAGAAAAACATCTCTATTTTGTATAATAATTTCGTAATATTCTTTATATGAGTTCTTTGCATTGGTATATTTACAAATAACTGAATCATTTTTATTATAATAAAATATTTGGCAGAATGGATTGCACTAACTGTAGAACATCGAATTTGTACATTTGTCAGATACTCCAAAATTTGTAGCCAGTTAAATGAATGTTTTTGCAAACTATATGTCCGACAATTTGGTCAGGGGTGGCTTACGGCTTCTCATAAAATCAATTCCAAAAGATAACGGTTACTCTTTAGCACATAGGCCACACTAAGAGTATAAAATGACACGTCTATATCAGAGAATCATAGAACAGTATATATGACCTGCTCGTTTCTCACTATCCAACTACAAAACTGCAGTTCTAATATCTCTTAAGAATGCGGTAAGACTTAACGTTTATATCTGTATTAAATACATTGTTCATTTTTTTTAAATCACACAGTGGCTTCTCTCTTCTAAAGTAGATGTATCTGAATTTTAAGTTTCTTCAAACATCTAACTTGACATAAATTGTAACATTACAATACGCTCGTTTATTAGAGCTTAACCTAGTTTTGATTTTAGAGTACTGTACTACCACTGGTATCTATAACATAGCATCATTACATATGTATTGCATTATATGAAATATTTTTTTTATACCTTAAAGATCTACATTCGCATCTTAGACTGAATGGCATCATAATTTAAATTTGGAACAATTACCTGAACAGAGTTAAATGAGACCACTACCAACTATAACTCCACATATAAGTAAATTAGAAGGAAACCTAAAATATGCCTTAAATCCATTTATTCAATACATTAAAGTCATAATAAAAACTATAACAAATTAAAAACCAAAACTTTTGCCTTTAAACTTTATTAAGTTTATCATCAGGTCTTGATTTTAGTCCCCATTCCAAAAATCATCAATGAGAAGAGCAAGTTTCGTATAACTCAGTTTATATAATGTTAGTATAAGGCTTAAGCAAACAAGTATTCTCTTCCCTTATTTATTTAAGTAAATAAGCCACAGTTTTATACGATCAGTCACTTTCAATTAGCTACAAATCCACAGGACACCAAGTAATCTAAGAAATGTGAATATACACATTAGTAGCATTTTAATATGAAAACAAACTGGTAAGCATTTCCATTTAATCAACCCTTTTGAAATTATTTGCACTGCAAAGTGTTGCCATGTTGATTGATGCCATAGAAAAACACTCCTTTTAAAGGAACGGAATTCCTTTAGCCAATTTTAAAACATATTGTCGTGTATTGTGACTGGTTATCCGTTATCCGTTATCTGTGAAATAGTGTTTCATTGATTGGATTATTATATGCTGTTCTAGTTTAGGATAACAATTTAACTTGTAAAATTGAAATAAAATAGAAATAGAATGAAACGAAAAGAGAGTCTTGTAGTTGTTATAAATTGCTCCGAGATGGATGGATGAATGAGTTATCGAATTGAGTTACTTTGCCAAAACAGACAAACTATTTGATATGCATACAAACAGAAACCATCTGACTTGACTTGAGACAGACATATAAAAGCAGTGCTTAAAACGAATGAAGCCGGCAAGGCACACCATTGCCAGACGAATAGAATCGAGCTGCCAATGTGCATAAAGTACTGATTGATTTGTTTGCTGTAAATCCATTTGAAAGATATCATTTTTAGTTTATGTATCTTTTAAAATGATTTTCCAGTTTTTATATTTATGTGTGTCTTTTGGTTTCGTTGTTTTGTTTTATTTAATCCCGTTATGCATTGCTGATAATTTCCATATTTCAGAGTAAAAAACTTTTGTGGATCAGCCGGTGAAGGCATTACGTCGGAGTCAAACATTTTGAACATGAGATTCTACGCCGAACCACAGGCAATCACTTCAGAATTTTCCATATTGTATACAGCATTCAGAGATCGCGGCAATAGTAAGTTGATGAAGGATTTACAAAGCAATACTATAGTACCTGCCTAGATTTTAGTTTTTTTCGTAATGGTTGGCTTTTTGCTTTATGCTTTGTTTGTGGTTTGTGATTTGTTCATTTCGCTTTTGTTTTATTTTTTAGTTGCAAAATTTCCTACTTCCAATTTGAGTTGTCTTTTTGTATATGTTGCATGCACTGGCTTGTATATATGCCACAATGTGCAATCTGCTGAATATATACATATATATAATAGTAAATATATAAATATAAATATTTTTATTTTTGTTTCACTCTAGCTTGTTCAAGTGATGAATACGATTGTGAGGACGCCACATGCATTTCAAAGGAACTCAAATGCAATGGACGTGATAATTGCAAATTCCGCTGGGATGAGGAGGGTTGTGATGTACGTTTCAACTTAAAATAATGATTATTTTGATTCAATCGCTTATTTTTTTATAATATTTAACACAAATTTATGAACACAAAAAGAAATATTTAATTAAAATTTTTAAAAACTTCGCTTACAGAAAAACACTGCTGGACAATCGGAACATGTAATCATAATAATCGTAGTTTTTGGCTTAATTTTAGGAGGAATGGTAATCACATTTCTTGTAAATTGCATACGCAAAATAATGCGGGACCAGAAAATCATACGGGTAAGTGATGAATAGACAGAAATTAACTCCGGTAATGACTAGCAACATTAGAACTGAAATATTTATACGCGCACCAATTTCCTCCATCAAAAACCAAAAGGTTTGCTACTCTTCTCCCAACCTTAGCTAGTAGCGATTAGCATTTTGATTAAATTTCAAACCACCTGCACTTTTATTAAAAACTGATTGGCTGTTCTAGTTTGTAGACAACTAGTTTGTTCTAGTTGTGTATATCAACTCCTGTGCCTATTACTTATTAGGTAACGCACTGTGCTCAACTTACACAGTTTAACACGTTCATTTTACACTTCCATTTTACACGTACATTTTGCACAAACAAAACACAAACAAAATACCATTCTCGTTGCTTTTGCATATTGTCTTGCTTGAGTGCAGACTGCAGTGCAGGTTCGCTGCTCTGCTGTTCTGCTGCTCTGCTGTTCCGCTGCTTTGTTGCGCTGCTGACACGTTACGCTGGCATTTTGCTCTTGCACTCTCGCGTTTCTAATTATGAGTTTAATTTGCCTGAGGTAGGCTTCGTTAACCTAAGCCGACTGCGCTACTTTTGTGTTGCTATTGGTTGTTTGTTCTGCTTTTATTATTCGAAGGTTTGCAATTAAAGTTACTCATACCACACGTTGTTCGCTGCATTGCATTGCAAGATTTTTTTTTCTTTTTGTTGAAATTATTTTATGCCTGTGCTGTAAATTTTGAGAAAGCAATTATTTTAATATTTTACTGGTTTTAAATTAAAAATTAAAATTTAAATATTTCCAGAGTGAAAATTTCTTAATTATAAGTGAATTTGATTCAATTTTGTATTGAAGTAATATTATTTTACATATGTACTGATATATTTTATCATTTATGTATAATTATTCTTTACCCGTTTGAATTTTAAGTTTCTTCAAGTAATTATTAAATTATTATTCTCATAATTATGATTTTTTGATTTCAATACTTTAAGAATAATTATTATAATATTGATACAGGTTACTGATATTAATTACTTTATTGGTAATGATATATGCATATACATGCTTCAGTAAATTTATTTATTTTTATTAATAATAAATATTATTAGCAAATTTATTATTATTAATAATATTAGCAAATTAATATTAAATTATTTAGGCATAGTTAATAAGTACGTTCAAATGATTTCAAATAATCATTTATCCATGAAAAGTTAATTAAATTATTTAAGTTAATTAATTAAGCTTGTTATATTTTTATATGTCGGAATTTTAACGATATTAAATCAATGTGGTGTGAATAACAAAATCTTTTACACATATTAATCTAAAGCTATACTACTTAAGTAGATAAGGTACATAATGTGATTTTTGTTTCCAACATTATTAGTAAAAGTCAAAAAAAGGAGTAGAATGTAGATTGTTGTCCTTGGTTTCTCCACTAAAATGTGTTTTTGCTATTTGTCTTCATTTAGTGCATATCATTAACTAAACCACTTTAATAACTGCACGTTATCGGTCTATCAATTTGCTCAAAAAATAGAGCTAAGTAATTGCTCTTTTAAGTTATTCATAACAATTATCAGTTTCCTGACACTTAAGACATATTATTATAATTGATTAATATAACTAGTTAGAATAGTCCGGCAATTTGCTTTTATTTAAATATTCGGATTATTTGGAATACGAAAATCATTATTTTATAAATTCAAATTTGTGATACGAGTATTTCCAAGAGGCATCTTTGCAATCTTTTAGTTTATGGTCTATTTCACTTAAATAATTAATATTACTATTCTCACATAATTTTAAAATTAAAACATTCTAAAAAAATCTCTAGCGTTCATGTTCAAACAAATTTTATAAACAAAATCCTTTTGATTCCCCTCGCTGTACTATATATTACTTATCATGTTTATCAAATGCTTGCACCGAGTGCACACTTGAGAACTGTAGGGAATAGAGCATATATTTTTGCTGACTTATTTATCATATGAGGGACTTTTAAATATACTGAATATATGTACGTCAAAAAATATATTCTAAATACGAGCGATTGATTCAGTTTGTGCAACATTGGTTTCCATCATTTGTGACATTAAAAAGTTATTTCAAAAGAAATATTTGTATTCCGCAGAGAAGTCAATTGTTATTATTAAGCAAATAGATGATACTGTAGCCACAGCGGCCTGCGTACCACAACCAGTTGCAGTATGTATTCTGCAATTTATGTGTTCCACAATTTATATTAAATCAGTCATGTTTACTATTTGACTTGTAGGCAATATTCTCCGTTCAGCATGAAAATTGCTGCCACAGGCTGGAGATCCTGTGGAGATTTATTTCTTCTTGTTTATTCAAATAAAGTAAAAATATTTATATATCCGCTTGTTTTTTATATTTGTTATCCATTTCCATTACTCACATTCATAAAAGAGTTGCTGCATGGCACAACATTATAGATGAGCTCTACTAAAATTCCAGTGTCACAACAAGTCGTGTACCGCTGTCATTTCATTGTGTCTATTAAATTCTTTTACCCGACATTGGTGATATTTGCAGTTCCGGTTGTATGTGGGTTTGTGGCAGTGGCAGTGGCAATGTGCTAGGATGACTGCTGGTGGTAATAGTGTTTGCTGGAGGATTCTATTTAAATTACTTTGCTGTCATTTTTGTTTGTTAACATTTTTCATGAAACGCACGAATACTTTCGCTCCCACACGTAAACACCAAACATGTTTAATATGACAAGAGTACACACACAGCCATAAACTAATTCATACGTACACGCCAAGCCAGTTTCATTTAGTAAGGACTAGTTTCATTCAAGTATTAAGTAGTGGAGGGCGCACACGTGCAGCTTAAACAAGGCCGCAGGCTGCAGTTTTTAGTCAACTGTGAGTAAAATGTTGATATAGGATCTGTGCATGTCGCGACAAGGAAGGTTATTGCTTCTGATAGCTCAACTGAGTTTGTCACAAACACCAGCTCACGGCGGATGAAAGACGACATGCTTGTAAGTGTAAATTTCCCAACTGTGAAAGATGACAACATGCAATATTGCGGTACAAATTTTATTTATTTATTAATCGCTACAAGGAATTCCATTATGGAACTGGAGCTTGTAAATTCGATTGTATGCACTCAACGTGACATATTAAAATTTTGCCGCAATATTTCAAGCACAAAAATTGAATTGCAAGTTTCTACACCGAAAATAAAAGAAAAATAAGGCAAAATTCCCAGCAATTAATCAAAAATATATGGGGAAGCTCATGAGTGACACGACGATGCATGCTCGACTAATCCTAATGCTATTAGAACAGAGCTTCAGTTCTTTTAGCACAATCAAAGTGCTGTCTGATTTAAGTAATTCCAGCGCTCAATGAAAGGAACGAAGGAATGTTCTCAAACTCACTTAAAAGTCAAGTTTCACTCCTGTTTGGAATCCATTAAAACATTTTATTGCGAAACTAAACCAAGCAAACTAGCTAATGTTAAAAACTCATCCTTTATTTTTGGCTTTAAAGTAGGACTTGTTAATAACTGGCATGCCAACCGTCAGTCGCTGCTGCAGTCATGGGTGTTTGTGTGTCCGTTGTCTGTTGGCCAGGAGCAGTTACACACACTTAAAAACTATTACACTTGATTAGGTTTACATTTTGGTGCTAACATGTTCCTCCTCTGAAATGGCTGATAAATTCTTAAATAAGCAGAATTTATTTTTGCGGACTTTTCACACAGAATTTCCGACATTAGAATGTTAAAACGCAAAACGGATATAAGAAAAATTGCACTCTTGCCAATTCGAAGTTGTGTCGTATGTGCAGGCAGTGGGAGCAGAATGTTGGAAGGAATTTGAAATTTGTTTTTATAGCTATGAAATAACATGTAATTCCACTTTAATGCCGACAATGTTTGCATTGCTTTTTGCTGTGAGTCCGTTTTATGAATTGATTATAATGATAATTATATATTGGATGGACTGTACGAGTCTCATAAGAAAATGAAATTGATAACTCCACAAAGTAAAAATGAATTGAATGTTGTGATTCATGTTCTAAGTATTCTAGATACTCAATTACAACAAGCTGCAATTCCCATGATTGCATTTAGTAAAATCCTTTAAAGATGAAGGCTATATTGCAGAAATAAAGTTTAAATTAGTTACAAAAGTTCTTCGCTGGGTACAAACTAAGGGAAATGAAATTTATTGCTGCTTCCATTTGTTGGTGAAACAGTTAGTTTGATAAGGAAGAAGATGATAATACTGGTAATTTTAACAAATCAGTAACTAAAACAAGTTAAAGCTCAAGCTGAAGTTACTCAATAAGGTTCAACAAACACATTTTCTTTACATTGCTAATGCTTTGGAGTCTAATCCAAATAAAGTACAAAAGGTATACCTAGACACCCCGTCGTTGCACCTCATTAGAAAACAAGTTGAGATTAAAAGTATAGTGCTATAGTGCGAAAGACATTCGGTCCAGTTTGAAATTTTACAAATTTGTTAGTTTTCCAGACCGTATAAGATGCGTATTCAGCCGAGAACTAAATAGAAAACACTTATCTCGTAAAGAATATGAATGCTACACTTTTATTACGACAGTATTAAGCTTTGAAGTCCTTTCAAAAAATTTAGTGTTGTAACTGACTACTGTAATGTTTGTCAGGTAGAGGTTCTAGCAATCTAGGAGGAAGATGCGTACTTACTAAAACTAATAAAAATATATTTTATTTGGGTTTCTGGCACAAACAAAAGCGGTATGAGAACACTTATGGGTAGTTTTGAATTATTGTTAAAAAAAATGTCGTTCAAGAGCCAACAATTCCTTAGCATTATTTCACGTCTTGGCTAGTATGACAGAATAATCGATATTTGGCAGGAGGAAAACATTTCTAAGGCCGTAGTTTGTATATCCGGTTACCTGCTATTTGGCAGGTATGCTATCCGACTAGATATATTTTCAATGAGTAGCGTAAAAGTTGTGGCGACAATGAAGAAGAAGAAATATTCATCTAAAGTTCATCATCTTTCTGACTTTATGAAGTCAAGTTTTATAAGTAATTATGTGTTTAGCTCTTCAGCAAAAATGATGAGCGCTAAACATATTCTGTACTTTATTTGGATTTAAAATGCTTTGATAACTAAATAGTGTGAAGAAGTCGTACAGGAGTCCAAGTAAGATGGTCAGCGAGACCGACTGCCATAGATTTCAGAATTTTAGAATAGACCTGCCAGAAATCATTATCTGTCCTACAACTTGTTTTATTTTTGCTACGAGTATCAGGAGTAATTGACCCCAATGCTATTATAGATTCGATACGAGTAGTTCATCTTTAATTATTTAGATAACCAGCCATTTTTAACATCTGATTGTAGATTATTCAATTACGAACACTTACTACGAACTTGATTTAAAACTAAATTACGTAAATTTCATATTTTTGGAGTTCTAAAAGCATTTTATAAAAATAATAATCACATGCTTTCAACTTAGTCCTTTGAAAGTTCTTTCCATAACAACTTCAAAAAAGTCCTTTTTTGTCCTGTTGCTTCGTACATTTATACAAACACATAACATTGGAAGCACTCACATTTATATTACTTAGAGCTTCCATCATCCACCTTATTTTAATTAAACATAATCCACTTTTATCTTTAAATATGCGTTTTCAGCTTTTCTTTTTCTTTTTGTGGCATTTTTTGAGTAGCTATAGTTTTCTCGCTCTTATGTGAGTTCTTAATATTTCTGCTGACATCTTCCCCGAGTGAGAAGCACTTTTAAGCAAGCTCATTATGCCAAAACAACATTCCCTGTTATCTTCTTTTTCGGTTGCTCTGTTTTTTTTACTTATTTAGTAATAATGTGCGTCCTTGCAATTAGTTTCCTGCTTTCTATGTTTGCATCTGCTTCGAAGGTGAATGCGTCAAAATTTTTTTGTTGCAGACGGAATGCTTATCTTGAGTCTTAACTTGGCGTAAGTCAATTTTATGTGTTTCTTTGAACTACAACATAATCCCATGAACTCCAGTATACTACACTGACTACACTACACTTGTTCATTTACCAGAAAGTTATCCTTTCAACTGTTCACAAATTCCGTATTTCGTATTCCGTACAAACGAAAATGCTTTTCCTTCCTAGTTGTGCTTTGGTTTCTTTTGTGCTCAGTTTTCCATAGTGAATACATGCTTTACTACTTGATTCCTTCAATGAATCTGATTGTTTTACTTGTTAACTTCATGCCGTATTCTCTGCTTATAACACTCATCCACTCCCACTCCCACTCCCACTCTTAGTCTCCTTCATAGTTGCATTTATTTTATTTATTTTAGTTTTAGTTTCGGAATTCATTCTGCTTTTTTGATTTCGTATTTCTTTAATTAAAATTCATACGTTTCTCCACTGTAAATATTGTTCCTACTCATGTTGTTGTTGTTGTTATTGTTTAGTTATGTTATTAGTTATTCCTGTCGACTTGCCTCTCTGTATGTTCTATCCACAGGATGTTCCGGTTCTAGGCGATGGTATCTATCACATTGATTCGTTCCTCTTGAGCGTACCGAAAACCGCAATATTTGTCGGATTACAAAACGATTGGACTCAAAAACCAAATATTAGCAATGAATTGACTGAAGGTGACAATCACAATGTTTGTCAAATGCAGGATGAACTGGGCGACGAAGAACAGTGTAGCGGTGAATGCCAGAGCAGTGATTGTGACACCGAAGCCTGCTACTATATCGGTCAAAATCAGAGTTGTACAAACTACAAAGATGATAGCTTTGATGGCGGCGATGATGAATTTGTTATTGTAACAAATTGGAACGATATGACATGTTTGCATAATGGCTACTCCTACAACCACAACCACAGCCACAACATTAACAATTACAATAACAACAACTGCAATAATGAATGTGATATTGTTACTCCAATGTCTTCCGATTCATACACTAGCGCCGACACCACACCAACTGAGGCTACCAATAGTTCAACAGAAGCGTCAGTGGAACAGCGTGGGGCACAAACATCTTTGCACAGCGAGGACTATCAAATACCAATTTTTCCAGCAACATTTCCACATAAGTGCCAAAAATAAAGACAAATTCATAACATGCTGTGCCCAATACTGATGTGCTCAGGATAAGAGAAGGCCTCATCAGAGGCTTCAAAGGAGAGCAAAGAACACAAAGCGTTAGAGCGGCAAGCGCCAAGCTCCAAGCGGTAGAGCAGTATATGTTGGCATATATTATGTATATATTTTCGATTACATAAAAACCTTTTAAATATGTGACAATGTAGCAAAATAAAATTTGTTTTAAAATTGAAAGGAAATTTATGTAAAATGACAATTGGGAAGCCATGCACTCTCGCATCCTGCAACACATATGACAATGCTTCGCTTCATTTAGAAACAAAAATATATAAATATTTATGTTAAAAGGACACATGTAGATGTGTGCTCCTATTCGTACCATAAAAATGTTATCAAATCAAAATCAAAATCGAAAACGAAAACGAAGCTAAAGAAGCCGAAAATTTAAATGAAAATGAAAGCACAACAAAGGAAATGTCTCACAACAAAAACAAACAAAAAACAAAAATTTAAAATCCTTTTGAACAAATGACAAAGTTGACTATCAAAATTTTGCATACAAATAAATTAAATTAAATAAAAGAAAATATATATAATAGTATATATACAAATAAAAATATATAAAAAATATTCGCAATGAGTTTTTTAGCTCTGAAATTGGTTTTGATATCCATTCAATTTTTATTCATATTTTTCCTTTAGTTGGAATTCGCTTTTAAACTGACGACGAAAATGTCTTCACAGAATAAAGTCCGGAAATATCATTTGTTTTTGAATCTTAACAAAGTTGAAGGAGTGGGAAATCGATTGCGCCTTAGGCAACTGAATAAACTGAGTAAAAACTAATTAATATAAAGGAATATCTGAATAACATGAATTCATAATTTGACGCAAAACTAATTAGCAACATAAATGCTTTATCATTGCGACTTAATTTAACAACGTAAAAAAAGTTTTTGAAGAAATTTCAAAAAGAAAAACTTGAGTATTTT